AATTAAGTGTGAAACCAATGTATCATAAAAGTAACTAGAATTACAGATCAATATATAACAAATTACTTACTTATTTATTCCTCTTTGTGCTCTCAAGACATCAGACTGATACTAGAGTTTTGCAATGGTGTCTGTCCTGGGCCCATTGCTGCACCACTCCCCAGGTCCACCCTGCGTCCTTCATCTCTGCCTGCACAGATGTTCCCAAAGTCACCTTTGGATGTCCTTTGTTTCTTTTTCCTGCTGGTGTCCATCGCATTGCAACCCTTGGCATTGAATGTGGGTGCATCCTGCAGACATGACCGATCCAACGTCATTTTCTACAAAATAATGCAATGTAATTACTGTATTGGACGTATTTAGCGTTAGAACTGAGCGTGCAACGTATTTTTAATAGGGGACGCTTATTAGGGAAGGGTGCTAAATACGTCGAATACAATATTTCCATGAATGTCATATGTTATGATCAAATCATCCTTCTGTCTTAACCATGTTAACGAATATCATTTTAGATATGTTTTGTGTGTCATGTTAGCCAACGTAAAAAACGCTCAACCAATAAGGACTTTTGTAAATCGTTGATTTATCAAGGTGGTGTTTAGTCAGTTTGGTCGATCATAAATATGTTCTCAGATAAAGATTAAAGAAGTCGCCATTCTATCAGATACAAATTCCCATGATCTATTTTACCATTGAACAGTGAAGCTAAAGCATTGTCTCATCAAACCTGAATCCTTGGTTTGATTCTGTGCACGAGTGGAGACCAAACTCGAAAGCTGGACTTATACGATACTGACTCAACATTTTGTTCCACATTAGTTTGAATGTAAGTGTAGCCTTTTCACTTGCACATATGTGAGTGAGTGAGTGAGTGAGTGAGTTTAGCTTTACGCCGCACTCAGCAATATTCCAGCTATATGGCGGTTGTCTGTAAATAATCGAGTCTGGACCAGACAATCCGGTGATCAACAGCATGAGCATCGATCTGCGCAATTGGGAACCGATGATAAGTGTCAACCAAGTCAGCGAGCCTGACCACCCAATCCCGTTAGTCGCCACTTACTACAAGCATGGGTTGCTGAAGATCAATTCTAACCTGGATCTTCACGGGTCTGCACATATGTTGTTTCAGTGGTGTAAATGAAATGACTGATGGAAGAAACCCAACTGCTCCTCCCGATGACTGCAACAGTTCATCTCAGTTAAGACCTGTCTGAGAAGATGATAGTAAGGCATACCTCAAGCACTATTTTAACGCAGCAGTCATGTTACTGTAGCAACCGTCCGTAATTAATCATGACTGGAAACCAGTGATCGAAATTATTATCAAAGTCTTTGATAACTTGACCTTGAACTGAGGACTGAACACTGAAGACTATGTAACGCAATGATAAACTCAAGCTCTCTCAATCAGTGTTCAGGTTGCACGCATATTAACCTGAGATTACCTTCGCTACAAATTGTGAATTTGGGTGGACGACATAGGAACGGAGTTTTTCAGTTCGTTCGTCGACCAGTCCTTCCGACAGCTTCTCAGTGGGGACTAAAATTCCAAAACACAAAATGTTTTGCCATGGTCTGAAATGAGGCAAACATTGGTGTACTAAATGAATTGTTTCAAGAGTTATGGCCCTTGCTCAATGCATTTAAATGCGATTTCTTAAGAACATGCACTTTTAACAGTTTAGTACTTTGAAAGCGATTTGATGTACATAGTTGACTAATTTATGCAAGTTATCTATTGATGTGATGTACATAGTTGACTAATTTATGCAAGTTATCCATTGATGTTATGTATATAGTTGACTAATTTATGCAAGTTATCCATTGATGTGATGTACATAGTTGACTAATTTATGCAAGTTATCCATTGATGTGATGTACATAGTTGACTAATTTATGCAAGTTATCTATTGATGTGATGTATATAGTTGACTAATTTATGCAAGTTATCCATTGATGTGATGTATATAGTTGACTAATTTATGCAAGTTATACATTGATGTGATGTATATAGTTGACTAATTTATGTTATCCATTGAAGTTATCCATTGATGTGATGTACATAGTTGACTAATTTATGCAAGTTATACATTGATGTGATGTACATAGTTGATAGCAAGTGATGTATATAGTTGACTAATTTATGCAAGTTATCCCATAGTTGACTAATTTATGCAAGTTATCCATTGATGTGATGATGTGGACATAGTTGACTAATTTATGCAAGTTTATCCATTGATGTGATGTACATGTTGACTCATTTATGCAAGTTATCCATTGATGTGATGTATATAGTTGACTAATTTATGCAAGTTATCCATTGATGTGATGTACATAGTTGACTAATTTATGCAAGTTATCCATTGATGTGATGTACATAGTTGACTAATTTATGCAAGTTATCCATTGATGTGATGTGATGTTATAGTTGACTAATTTATGCAATTGATGTGATGTACATAGTTTGATACATTGATGTGATGTACATAGTTGACTAATTTATGCAAGTTATCCATTGATGTGATGTACATAGTTGACTAATTTATGCAAGTTATCCATTGATGTGATGTACATAGTTGACTAATTTATGCAAGTTATCCATTGATGTGATGTACATAGTTGACTTATTTATGCAAGTTATCCATTGATGTGATGTACATAGTTGACTCATTTATGCAAGTTATCCATTGATGTGATGTACATAGTTGACTTATTTATGCAAGTTATCCATTGATGTGATGTACATAGTTGACTCATTTATGCAAGTTATCTATTGATGTGATGTATATAGTTGACTAATTTATGTAAGTTATCCATTGATGTGATGTACATAGTTGACTAATTTATGCAAGTTATCCATTGATGTGATGTACATAGTTGACTAATTTATGCAAGTTATACATTGATGTGATGTACATAGTTGACTCATTTATGCAAGTTATCCATTGATGTGATGTACATAGTTGACTAATTTATGCAAGTTATCCATTGGTGAGTACAGTTTCTTAAAATACTGTCATGATAAATGAGCTTGTACTTTAGAGGAGGAGGATTTGCAGTTAAAGCTTTACCACGCAAACAAATCATTCTGCTTTTAACTGGATGACACGTGTGCGGTTTTTAAGCTCTCCATAAATAATAAAGTTAAGAGTACGGTTCTTAAGTGGCCATAAACCTTTCAATACATCAATTTGGAAGGATTGCTTGCAATCGTTTATGTTCCCAGAAATTTTTATTATAGTTGTCTTAGAAGAATAGCTTTTATGCTGCAACTCACACCATACCTGTGGAATGAATAATATTTTAGAAATAATTATAATTTCACAATTTTAATTGCTAATATTGCCCCAAAAGCTATATATTTTATAGGTGACTGGAAAAAGCCTCAACAATGTTGTAGGTTTGTACTTTACATCATTTGGGACTTGTGTTTCTGACTTCAAAAATAAAGATAATCGTTTTACTTAATCTTTGCTGTTTATATATTATACGCTGTTTGTTTTGTCTCGCTTAAACCTCGGAACTCACTGTCATGGTATCCTGGCTGGCTTAAGTGACGTAACTCTTCGAATTGTTGCGTCTTGGACGAATCGGTCACCCCTCCGATTCAGATTACACGAGAGTAGTTGTAGAGATTATCGTGCCACCCTAGTGTAGTGTTCAGTTATGTAAGCCCTGCATTTTAAATTACTTGTTCCTCAAATACAACCTACTTTACTTTGTGAAGCTAAGATACAGGGATGTAAACAATTCTATACAATTGACAGGGTTAATCCTAAACGGTTTTGAATGTTGGTATCTCAACACCAGGAAATATGTTTCGTGGAGAATACGAGAGATACTCATTTTGCATCTTACACTAGTTGTCTGAAGTACTGGTGTAAAATGCTAATAATGATAATTCCTGAACACCGTTCACCTAAAACGTTCACAACATACTCGTACATAAAGCAAATGAACACAAATTACTATTTGACTTCTATAACTAAATTACATGTCGGGCGTGCACGTTGGTAAAGAGCAATGCCAATATCTTGCTCTTTGAAAAGAATATATGTACTGGAATATTTCTCAATTAAAGGACTGAGCCGTTAATTACTTGCCCGACAAAAGGAGAAATTTACTATTGGAATGTAAACGTTCTAAACCTGTCTGGATATCAGATAAGATTTACCGGATTTAAGAGATGCACATACTTTCTCCTAGCGATATATACTCATGCCAATGTTGCCTATTAATAAAATTGAAGTGGGTGACAACCATTATTGGCATGGGTATACATGTTTCTAAGGGTTTCATTGCATTTCAGATGAATGTCACTTGCCTAAAACTGTCCATACCATTATTACACAGTCCCACTTAATGATTCAATGAAATATTTTAATATGTGAAATCTCACAGGACAAAAAGAAAAGATAGATGGATGCAACGTGACCAGCGTCACCGTTACCTCCACTACGCAATAACAGACCACTGTTTCGCGACCCACATTCGGTCTACATTTGTTTGATTCTTTTAATTCATAAAGCCGTTTTCATGTGGTGTAAAACCCATAAACAACACACTCAAGTGGCAATATATATTTGTGTATATTGCTTCAAGTCAATCACGGCCAGGTCATGAAACAACTATTGCCATCAGATCCCCTGTATATATTGAGGTGTGCTCTGGGACCTTGAAACACAGTTCTAACTGACGACATGGGTGAATGGATGAAGTATATCATAGTGCTGGCGGGTATGTCATATTTCCTATAACAGCATGCATATGTAAGGCATTGTTCCATCGTATCATATCATTGGTTGGTATGTTATTTTACGCCACTTTGAAGGTATCATATCTTCGCCATTTTATGATGACAGTTTTGTTGATAAACATATTCTGTCTGTTTTAAGTATGATTTTTAACAGATAGGTAATGGTGGCCGAATTTGAGTACGTCCTCTGTGTTCCTCGATGCCTTGTAACCCTCTTACTTTGATCGCTGTGTTTACTTAGTTCTGACCAGCGTCTGTCAAGGTCAGGACTATCCCTGTGATGACACCAACACCCCTGTCTGCGGGGACGACGGCAACACTTACACCAACGAATGTTTCCTCTCCTGTGCCGGGTAGGCATACATCATGTCATCCTACATTTACCTTATATTATGCATCATCGAGCATGTTTACAACTGTAGCGAGTTTAACATCGCCCTGAGCAGTATTTCAGTTTTATGTATGTGAGTGAGTGAGTAAGTATGGTTTTACGCCGCATTTAGCAATATTCCAGCAATATCAAGGCGAGGGACACCAGAAATGGGCTTCACATATTGTGAAGAGCCAACGCTTTAACCACTAGGCTACCCTACCGCCTTGAGTGCGAGCATAGGAGCCAGGGTACGTCCTGCAGGTTATCCTAAACTAATGAATCCTTCTTTACCTTCGCCATACCCATGCGAATGATTATTGTTATCAGCTATATGTGTGCTTGCTGTCAAACAATGACAGTATAATGAAACACCTCCTAGAAACATTACATTGTTAATACAGCTATCGAGATGGTTAATGTGCTTGGTGATGATTAAACAAAATATTATGTCAAACTTCCATCACATATTATATGTTTCTAGACTTTCCTATAGTCAAAAGTACATTTTGTGCTTCAATAGTGCCACGAAGGCGACCGACGGAGCATCTCCCAAGGTTTGCCCTTGTCCTCGACTTTTATCACCTGTCTGCGGCAATGGTGGCATGACGTATGACAAATGATCCTTCCCTTTTTACTTTTACCATATCAATGCCAATGAATATTGTTCGGAGGCATGTTTCATTTGCTTTATATGAAACAAAGGACAAAAGAGGAGTTGTTAATACTATAATGAAAAAACTGTTATAATTCAAAATCGATTATTTCCTCATTTAGGTATGCACTTAGTTCGCTTACACGTGCATATAGCGAAAACGATGTCAGACTTGTAGCAGTTAATATTCCTTGAAGACTTCCTACAACTAAACTTTTCTGTTGTGTTTCAATAGTGCCACGAAAGTATCCGACGGAGCATGTCCCAAGGTTTGTGCCTGTCCATTTCTCCTTTCACCTGTCTGTGGCAGTGATGGCATAACTTACGACAACAAATGCCAGCTGGAGTGTCAAGGGTGTGTACATTTGGGATGTGTGTCTTTAAAATTATGGGAAATGTCTTAAGGTATAATAATCAAATAATCCTTGCTTCTGTACTTGTACCATATCTACGCTAACGAATATGTTTTATTAGGACGGGGATATTTTCTTTCTGTAGACCAATAACCAAAACAAGAGGCTTATGAATATAATGAAGCAGCTGTTACAATATAAATCTCTGATTCATCATCCAGGTATAAACTAGTCAGTTTTGGAGATGATTAATACGTTTACAATCGCAAATAGAGAAAACGATGTTACACTCATAGCAGTTAATATTCCTTGAAGACTTCCTACAATTAAACTTTTCTGTCGTGTTTCAATAGTGCCACGAAAGTGTCCGACGGAGCATGTACCAAGGTTTGTGCCTGTCCATTTCTCCTTTCACCCGTCTGCGGCACTGATGGCGTGACTTATGACAACCAATGCCAGCTGGAGTGTCAAGGGTGTGTACATTTGGAATGTGTCTTTAAAACTACCGGGAAAGGTCTTAAGGTATAATAAAGAAATCTTTGCCTGTGTATATGTACCATATCTACGTCAACGAATAGTTTTTATTAGGAACGGATGTTGGTTTCCTGTCTGGCCACCACAGAACAAAACAAAGGGTTTATTAGTATAATGAAGCAGCTTTTACAATATTAATCTCTGATTCATCATCGAAGTATGCACTGGTCAGTTTTGGAGATCATTAATACGCTTTAATGTGCATATAGAGAAAACGATGTCATACTTGTAGCAGACTTCTTACAATTAAACGCTACTGTTTTCCTTCAAAAGTGCGACTAAGGCGTCTGACGGAGCATGTCCCAAGGTTTGCCCCTGTCCTCGTCTTTTGTCACCTGTATGCGGCAATGATAGCGTGACTTATGATAACCTTTGCCTGCTGGAGTGTCAAGGGTGTGTACATTTGGGATGTGTATTCTTCAGATTAGAAACACTTTACAAAGACGGAAAAATACGATCATTTCGATGGTTTATATGTATATCCATTATCAGATAGTGTCTTAAGTCATCATCAAATAATCCTTCCCTTTTTACTTTTACCATATCGATGCCAATGAATATTGTTCGGAGGCATGTTTCCTTTGCTTTATGTGAAACAAAGAATAAAACAAGGGTATTAAATATCATAATGAAAAACTGACATAATTCAAAATGGTTGATTCCTCATCTAGGTATACACTTAGTTTTGAAGATGATAAATTCGCTTACACGTGCATATGGAGAATACGATGTCAGACTTGTAGTTAATATTCCTTGAAGACTTCCTATAATTAAACTTTACCTTTGTGTTTCCATAGTGCCACGAAAGTGTCCGACGGAGCATGTCCCAAGGTTTGTGCCTGTCCACTCCTCCTTTCACCTGTCTGTGGCAGTGATGGCGTGACTTACGACAACCAATGCCAGCTGGAGTGTCAAGGGTGTGTACATTTGGGATGTGTGTCTTTAAAATTATGGGAAATGTCTTAAGGTATAATAATCAAATAATCCTTGCTTCTGTACTTGTACCATATCTACGCTAACGAATATGTTTTATTAGGACGGGATATATTTTCTTTCTGTAGACCCAAAACAAAAGAGGCTTATGAATATAATGAAGCAGCTGTTACAATATAAATCTTTGATTCATCATCGAGGTATGTACTAGTCAGTTTTGGAGATGATTAATACGCTTACAATCGCATATAGAAACACTTTACAAAGAGAAAACGATTTCAGACTCATAGCAGTTAATATTCCTTGAAGACTTCCTATAATTAAACTTTACCTTTGTGTTTCAATAGTGCCACGAAAGTGTCCGACGGAGCATGTCCCAAAACAAGGTTTGTGCCTGTCCACTCCTCCTTTCACCTGTCTGTGGCAGTGATGGCGTGACTTACGACAACCAATGCCAGCTGGAGTGTCAAGGGTGTGTACATTTGGGATGTGTGTCTTTATTAAATTACTGGGAAATGTCTTTCAACGGTATAATATTATCAAATAATCCATTGCTTCTTTTTACTTGTACCATATCTACGCTAACGAATATGTTTTATTAGGACGCGGATATTTTCTTTCTGTAGACCCAAAACAAGAGGCTTATGAATATAATGAAGCAGCTGTTACAATATAAATCTTTGATTCATCATCGAGGTATGTACTAGTCAGTTTTGGAGATGATTAATACGCTTACAATCGTAAATAGAGAAAACGATTTCACACTCATAGCAGTTAATATTCCTTGAAGACTTCCTACAATTAAACTTTTCTGTCGTGTTTCAATAGTGCCACGAAAGTGTCCGACGGAGCATGTACCAAGGTTTGTGCCTGTCCATTTCTCCTTTCACCCGTCTGCGGTAATGATGGCGTGACTTATGACAACCAATGCCAGCTGGAGTGTCAAGGGTGTGTACATTTGGAATGTGTGTCTTTAAATCTACCGGGAAAGGTCTTAAGGTATAATAAAGAAATCTTTGCCTGTGTATGTGTACCATATCTACGTCAACGAATAGTTTTTATTAGGAACGGATGTTGGTTTCCTGTCTGGCCACCACAGAACAAAACAAAGGGTTTATTAGTATAATGAAGCAGCTTTTACAATATTAATCTCTGATTCATCATCGAAGTATGCACTGGTCAGTTTTGGAGATCATTAATACGCTTTAATGTGCATATAGAGAAAACGATGTCATACTTGTAGCAGACTTCCTACAATTAAACGCTACTGTTTTCCTTCAAAAGTGCGACTAAGGCGTCTGACGGAGCATGTCCCAAGGTTTGCCCCTGTCCTCGTCTTTTGTCACCTGTATGCGGCAATGATAGCGTGACTTATGATAACCTTTGCCTGCTGGAGTGTCAAGGGTGTGTACATTTGGGATGTGTATTCTTCAGATTAGAAACACTTTACAAAGACGGAAAAATACGATCATTTCGATGGTTTATATGTATATCCATTATCAGATAGTGTCTTAAGTCATCATCAAATAATCCTTCCCTTTTTACTTTTACCATATCGATGCCAATGAATATTGTTCGGAGGCATGTTTCCTTTGCTTTATGTGAAACAAAGAATAAAACAAGGGTATTAAATATCATAATGAAAAACTGACATAATTCAAAATGGTTGATTCCTCATCTAGGTATACACTTAGTTTTGAAGATGATAAATTCGCTTACACGTGCATATGGAGAATACGATGTCAGACTTGTAGTTAATATTCCTTGAAGACTTCCTATAATTAAACTTTACCTTTGTGTTTCCATAGTGCCACGAAAGTGTCCGACGGAGCATGTCCCAAGGTTTGTGCCTGTCCACTCCTCCTTTCACCTGTCTGTGGCAGTGATGGCGTGACTTACGACAACCAATGCCAGCTGGAGTGTCAAGGGTGTGTACATTTGGGATGTGTGTCTTTAAAATTATGGGAAATGTCTTAAGGTATAATAATCAAATAATCCTTGCTTCTGTACTTGTACCATATCTACGCTAACGAATATGTTTTATTAGGACGGGGATATTTTCTTTCTGTAGACCCAAAACAAGAGGCTTATGAATATAATGAAGCAGCTGTTACAATATAAATCTTTGATTCATCATCGAGGTATGTACTAGTCAGTTTTGGAGATGATTAATACGTTTACAATCGTAAATAGAGAAAACGATTTCACACTCATAGCAGTTAATATTCCTTGAAGACTTCCTACAATTAAACTTTTCTGTCGTGTTTCAATAGTGCCACGAAAGTGTCCGACGGAGCATGTACCAAGGTTTGTGCCTGTCCATTTCTCCTTTCACCCGTCTGCGGTAATGATGGCGTGACTTATGACAACCAATGCCAGCTGGAGTGTCAAGGGTGTGTACATTTGGAATGTGTGTCTTTAAATCTACCGGGAAAGGTCTTAAGGTATAAATAAGAAATCTTTGCCTGTGTATGTGTACCATATCTACGTCAACGAATAGTTTTTATTAGGAACGGATGTTGGTTTCCTGTCTGGCCACCACAGAACAAAACAAGGGGTTTATTAGTATAATGAGGCAGCTCTTACAATATTAATCTCTGATTCATCATCGAAGTATGCACTGGTCAGTTTTGGAGATCATTAATACGCTTAAATGTGCATATAGAGAAAACGATGTCATACTTTTAGCAGACTTCCTACAATTAAACGCTACTGTTTAGCTTCAAAAGTGCGACTAAGGCGTCTGACGGAGCATGTCCCAAGGTTTGCCCTGTCCTCGTCTTTTGTCACCTGTATGTGGCAGTGATAGCGTGACTTATGATAACCTTTGCCTGCTGGAGTGTCAAGGGTGTGTACATTTGGGATGTGTATTCTTCAGATTAGAAACACTTTACAAAGACGGAAAAATACGATCATTTCGATGGTTTATATGTATATCCATTATCAGATAGTGTCTTAAGTCATCATCAAATAATCCTTCCTTTTTACTTTTACCATATCGATGCCAATGAATATTGTTCGGAGGCATGTTTCCTTTGCTTTATGTGAAACAAAGAACAAAATAAGGGTATTAAATATCATAATGAAAAACTGACATAATTCAAAATGGTTGATTCCTCATCTAGGTATACACTTAGTTTTGAAGATGATAAATTCGCTTACACGTGCATATGGAGAATACGATGTCAGACTTGTAGTTAATATTCCTTGAAGACTTCCTATAATTAAACTTTACCTTTGTGTTTCCATAGTGCCACGAAAGTGTCCGACGGAGCATGTCCCAAGGTTTGTGCCTGTCAATTTCTCCTTTCACCTGTCTGTGGCAGTGATGGCGTGACTTATGACAACCAATGCCAGCTGGAGTGTCAAGGGTGTGTACATTTGGGATGTGTATTCTTCAGATTAGAAACACTTTACAAAGACTGAAAAATACGATCATTTCAACGGCTTCTACGTATATCCATTACCAGATACTGGCTTAGGTTATTGTCAAATAGTTCTTCCCTTTATACTTGGGAAGTGTGTTCATCAAATAAGAATGACTTTACGTGGACGATAATTTCAATGAATTATGTATTCATTCATTGCCGGATAATGCCTTTAGTTATTTTCAAACAATGCTTGCTTCTTGACCATGCATATGAGAAATATCTGTATGCCATTTTGCGGGAAAGTTAAGGGTGTGTATATTTATAATGAGTCTTGTTGAAATAATCAGCCTTAAACACGATCTTTTGAATATGTCTTTTATCCTTTACCTCAAATAATGTATTAAACTATTATCGAATATAAGATTAATACCTGAACTCCCGACTCTGTGTAGACACACTGTACTATAGCCTTTTGTTGGTGAACAACTTACCCGATGTTTAGGGCACATTCACTTTCAGGCATATATGTTGCAACACGTCCTTAGCTGGAATTATATTTGCTACTTCTGTCTCTTCAGGAGTGTCACCTTAGTCCGAATTGGGTTCTGTCGCGGTTACAGTTTCCAAGACATCATCAGGTGGATTCGTCTCCGCCTTCAGACTTGGAGAAATATCCGTCTTGATTCCGGCAGAAACACCGTACAGAGAAAGTTGTAAAGTAAGAACATTCATGTAAAGCCAAATATGTAGTCTCTTTTAAACTGAGAAAGAAATGACTGCTCGTGAATATTGGTTTGCGGTATAATATTCCTTTATATTGTAGAATGTTTCTTTTACGTGTGTATATGAGAGTGAATGGCATTGCAGATTGAACGTCCTTGTGTATATATCTGCATTCCATTTCAGGCGAATGCTGATACCTGGATCTAAACGTGACTGAGAAAGGATGCTCATACTCTTGGTTTTCAAAATACAAAATAACAATCAATAACTTACTGTTACTCCAGTCAATCAATCAAATAGTTCAATAAACCTCATAACATATATATAACATGTATATATTCGTTTTCTTTTCCTGGAACTGAAACATACAAGCTTACTTCATGCTATGCAGCCGCATGAAAGACATGTTGTCAGTAGAGCACGGTAATTTGATAAGCAAAAGGAGCATAACTCTAAATCATGACTCAATATATTTATACAGTACCTTAGCAAATAACACTACATACAATGTTCACTCCGACAACTCGACTTTCCGCTTATCAGCCTTCAGCACAGATATACATTTTTCGTATAAACAATATGAAGTTCGACTCAAGAAGACGAATGTAATGCCACATACTTTAAACGCACAACCCAACGGTCTCGATGGACGGCAGGGGTCGTGTATTTTCGAAGTTGACGTTGTGTGTCAGTAGTGCGTAATAACCATCACGATTTGTCAAACATCCCTTCACTCGACGAGGCATACAGCCAATAATGATGTGACGCAGTCTGTCCCTCATCCCTATTTTTTCAATCGTAAATAAGAAAATGAAGTTCCCCTACTTTATTAAAGAGTATATGTAACGCAGTCTGTCCGGTTCGTCTTGCAACATCAGGCCAAGTTAAGCCAGCATGGTCGGTAATCAATGACGTCGATGTTATGTCTCCTGATCATGTGCCACACGTGTTCAATGGAGGAAAGTCTGGGCTCATGACTGGTCATCTCATTCTACGGATATGCTGCTGAATTGATTATTTGTGCATCCATGAAAGACGAAATGTCCAAAATAGGCCGGATGTCAGTATGTTGTCGCAATAGAACTGTTTAGTGACACTTCCCTGCACAGTATGAGGTAATAGCGACCAGAGAGAGAGAGAGAGAGAGAGAGAGAGAGAGCGAGAGAGAGAGAGAGAGCGCGCGAGAGAGAGAGCGAGAGTGTGTGTGTGTGAGAGTGAGAGAGAGTGTGTGTGAGAGAGAGAGAGAGACAGACAGACAGACAGAGAGAGAGAGAGCGAGAGTGTGTGTGAGAGAGAGAGAGACAGAGAGAGAGAGAGAGCGAGAGTGTGTGTGAGAGAGAGACACACAGAGACAGAGGGAGAGAGAGAGAGCGAGAGTGAGAGAGTGTGTGTGTGTGAGAGAGAGAGAGAGACAGAGAGAGAGAGAGAGAGAGAGAGAGAGAGAGACAGAGAGAGAGAGAGTGAGTGAAAGAGGTTGACTTTGGTTTGACGTTCATCTCGGTTTAACCAGACGGGACCATCACTATAGTGGAAAGACAATCGTGATTCATTGAAGACATAACCCATGACAGGCAACAATTGCCCCATTTCTGTTAAGTGCTTCAGGAGTTGATAATGTATGTTATCAGCTCCTGTAGCAGTATCGTGAGCTTGTTCAAGAGCAGTATGGAGCTCATGAATAGAAAATAGTTCATTATAATCTTCCCCATTATCTGAATTGAAATTAAAAGTTTTTTATATTGTTGGAATTTAGGCACATAATTAGAAGAGGAAGAATGTTTAGCAAGAGTTTCACCCAGTTTATTCGCAATGATTTATCGGTTAGTAATTGATCTCCATGTTTAAGATGATGGACGCTAGATTTAGTACCTTTACCTTCAATTTTCTGTACCATGTTCCATACCTTGGACATGGGCGTTCGAGAATGTATTTCTGTTGCTAGTTAATAGTAAGCTATTTGTACGTTTGCACGAGTTCGATTTCGTAGTTCCTGGTATCATACCAATCGATCCTGTAGTATTGTCTTCTGATTGAGACACCCTGTACTAGGTTGATATTTGGATCAGGTTGATATTTGTTCCGTGGTCTGCTATTTGCAGACTGTGAATGATATATTTATTGGCTGTATCACCAAGTGTGCAGTCTCCGCTGTTCGCAGATGCCGCAAAGCTAGTTCACACACAAACAATGAATGAAATTAGGTAAATATGATGAGCAGAATCACTTAGAAATAATATTCCACAGAGACAGACTTGTCAAAATCAGGAACTTCACCCATACCCGGCGCGATTACGGGGGCACTTACAAACTACCTTTGGTAAACAGAAGATTTTGTCGTCAACACCTACCATTGTCACTATGATTTATTTATCGTGATACAACATCCCCTCAAGAAATATCCCACTCTCCTACAGATACCTTTTATTCAGAATTTAAAAAAAATATTTTATAAACTAACAACTCTTATACAGAAGACAAAAGTAAAACAAAACAGAATAGTCCGAACCACTCTTCCTTAATCAAAAGAAATCCATTTAGAGTCCGTTGTGCAGGACTGAAGGCACATCAATGACAAGATGATATTTAAGCACATAACCGACACAGATCATTCTCTGATATTTAGTTACATATTTTAATTAAGTCTTGAAGTAACAATAAGTTACTAGCGAGTGGGTGAGTTTAGTTTTACGCCGCACTCAGCAATATTCCAGCTATATGGCGGCGGTCTGTAAATAATCGAGTCTGGACCAGACAATCCAATGATCAACAGCATGAGCATCGATCTGCGCAATTGGGAACAGATGACATGTGTCAACCAAGCCAGCGAGTCTGACCACCCGATCCCGTTAGTCGCCTCTTACGACAAGCATGGGTTACTGAAGGGTCATTCTAACCCGGACCTTCAAGGGTCAATAAGTTACTAAGTAAGGTAGTGAATGAGTGTGTTTTTACGCCGCATTTAATTCCAAAAATAAAATAACTTGAAGACACCAAAAAAGTTTCACAAATTGTGATCATGTCGAGAATTGCTCTAACCGCTGGCTACCACACCTTCCCCATGAGCTACGACAACATGAATAGTTCTGACTGTCTAATTAATGGAAGTTATGTAGAATTAATATGGTATCAGCAATGACCGTTGGGTATTTGAACACAATATCATACAAAAAACATGAAAATGGGCATTGGGTTATCGCTTATCAGAATGGTTGTTTTTGTTGTTTTTTTGTTTGACAAGCATTCTATACTCATGAATAACATAGGAAGACCAACTGTAACCTGGATCTTTACTTGGCGATGATAAGGATCGGTTTGGTTTAAAGTTTATAATAGTAGTTACGTTTTATTGGATATGAGCCTCACGTGACCCTTTGAAAGTGTGAAACCAATATGTTGATGGTTATACTTCTCTCCACGGCGGTATGAACAGTTTGCAAATCTAGCCATGTGACCCATAGCATGGTGTACTTTGGTGTGGCGATATTTGAATTAATTTGTACATTTACTTCATGCAGACTCTTATGACGATCGTATCGGTGCAGGAGGTTATTAAGACATTAAACCGTTGTATGAATACATCAATCTATACAACACTGTTTGTTATGTGAGTGTTTGTGTATTTGCTCAGCCATGACTAGCTGAGACATGGTGCGGCAATAACTGTAAATCACTCATGGGCCGTGAATTTCCTGTATGTGTTTTGTTTGCTTGTGTGGACCAACGGGCGGTTAGTGATTTTCAAGTAGGATCCAGAAACATTTCATTTTATGTTGACAACTAAATATTGAAGCATGTATAAAACACGTTGTATATTGAGTCAGCTCTTCAAACACAATACAGTTATATGTTACTGCTGCTTAAGACGAAATATATTGTGTACCAACTCTGCGTTTATCAAGGAATTTTGTTATTCATTCAAGTCGCTTTAACGTCAACGGTTTCCCACATAGACATTTACATAAATAAAATGAAACAATAAAACCGTACATTCGATATGCTGCATGGTAGCTGTTATGGTTAGCCTTATACATCGTTGTCCTATTGTCGATCAATCTTTATCTTTCGGTTTATAGTCATTATTCTTTCTTGGTAGATTATAGCATTTTCGTTTCGGAGTCAGAGGACTATTATGAATGAGTTGTTTCATTGTGTTCACCGGGGTTACGTTCCATTTCCCCTCAATTTCCTTACCGGTCTTTTATTTCGTTGTCTCGATCGCTTGTGTTACTGGCCCGCGCCATTTTGAGTTGTGACGTCATCACTATTTGTGTTTCTTCGAATGTAACTCTTTTTATGCATAAACTAATATCTTAAGTTGTTTATTTATCATGTTACGTTTCCATTTTTCTCTCATACTTGGTTGTTATGATGAACTTGGTTATTATTCTAAGTTGTAACTCTCGCGCTGACGGATCGTATCTGTTCATTCCATATGGACCCGGAAGTGACATAAGTCTCGATTGTGACGTTGTTTTTCTAACGATCAGCTGTTAAGAGAGCGGTTGTAAACATCACAAGATAGGGACGTGCGCTGACTTCAGTCCGAGTAAATACGATCTGTCAGCGGCAATCCAGCTTGTCTTTTGCGCTGGCTTTATGATTTCCAATCTCGTATTTAGGTAATAGTTGTGCAAATCCAGTTATGCATTTTTAAATATAATAAGTAATTTGTCTAATAACCTTGTTGGGGATAACGACCCTGATCGTCACTATCCATGTAAATAAAGTTCTGGTTATTGTTTCCAACGTGTGTTATTATTATATTATTATTAATGTTATGTGACAACTGTGAAAAGTAAGTTAATTATAGAACCCCTTAACCGTCACAGTAGCTATGGGGAGCATTTAGAGCCAATAGCTGCGGTCAGTGATCTACACATACCAGCACACCATTTTCTCCTGTGCACTTTAATGTTTTTGATTTAGCCCCAAACCTCGATTGTGTGCTGAGGGAAAGCAATTGCAATGTCAACATTGTTTGACGTGTCACCTGA